CCACTGTGCCAGTCTATTTCTCTTAATTGGTGAATTGAGTCCATTTACATTGATGGTTAGAATTGAGATGTATTGACTTATGGTTGCCATGTTATTTACCTGTTGTTGTTTACTTTTTTTTCTCCTGTGTTTAATTGCTTGTCCTATTTAGTTGGTTGCTTCTGATCTCATTTGTGAAGTTCTGATAATTTTGGTGATTCTCTAGAACATCTTTCAATAGCCTGTGTAGGGTTGCGTTTGTCAACACTAAATTCTTTAGCTGTTCTTTGTCATGAAAGTGTTTCACTTCTCCATCAAACTTGAAAGAGAGTTTTGCAGGCTATAGTAGTCTGGGCTGGAATTTCTTTTCACAGAGGACTTGAAGTAGTCTGCTACATGTTCTTTTTTCCTTCATGGTTTGTGAAGAGATGTCAGCCATAATTCTGATGGGTTTTCTTTTGAATGTGATCTGCTTCTTTTCTCTAGCTGCTTTCAGTAGATTATTCTTTTGGTGAATTTCTGGGATCTTGACTATTATATGTCTCGGTGTGTATTTCATTGGGTTAAGGTTCCTTGGCGTTCTGTATGCTTCAGTTACCTGAATGTCAGATTGTTTCCTTATATTTGGGAAGTTTTCTGCTATTACTTATGCCCATATTTTTTAATGCCATTTGTATTGACTCCTACTTTCTCATTGATACCTATTAGTCTCATATTGTTCATCTTTGCATCATCTTGCAGGAAAATTATGGAACTCTTCACGAATTTGCATGTCATCTTTTTGCAGGGGCCATGCTAATCTTCTCTGTATGTTTCCAATTTTAGTATACATGCTGCTGCAGTGAGCATGGTCATTCATTTTTATCTGCCTTTTTTGTTTAGTTTTGTCAGATAAGGGTATTCCATTATCAGTTAAATATTTTAGGTGCATGAATTCAGCAAAATTTTCCAATATACTCCAGTAGGTTATAATAGCAGTTGGTTTTCTATAGGACTGGCAATGTAGGAAGTTGTTTACTTCAGCCTTTTAGAGCTCAGCATATTAATATGGCTTTACTATTTATACTTCATTTTTATACTTTTCTGCTTGATGGTCAAGACCAACATAAAGCAAGACCACTATAACAAGAAATGTAACTTTTGTGTCTGACAAGGTCAGTCAATTCCCCTCAGAATTTAACCTGAAACTCTGTATCACACTTTATATATCCTTTGCCAGTGTGAGCCATGTAGATGAGTCATGGCCATTGCTCGACCCATTTGCTCTCTGTGAAAGCCTGAGAGAATGTTTTCTCTCCATGTCGCTCTCCTTGGGTACAATCTACATTGTTGGTCACTTTCCTCTGTGGCCCTATAATCTCCTTGATCAGAAAATCTGGGACACAACTGAACTACATGTTGTTACAGTACAGATACTCATATGTCCTTAGTCTTCACTGACCTTGAAAGGTTAGGGCCAAAATGTTGGCTGTCCTTGCAGCCCTTCTTTTTCTCTAATTTTTGGTATGCAAATTAAACTTTAGATACACAAATCTACACTATCAAACAAAATATTTTGAATAAGGGCATATTTTACAGCCTTTTTCAGATGTAGCAATAATTAATTTGAAGCTTGTGATTTCTAGTACTTCTTTTTGGGAAAAGGTTCACATAGGAAATATAATGTTGTGTGTTTATAAATAGATTCTGTATAACACTCCAGTTAAATGGAAGTTATCATTAGAGAGCTTAAAGGTGTATTTATATCAGAAACAACAATTTGAGATAATACCATTTTAAATGATAATTCAAATAAAGCTATCTTCTGTGGGTGTAAGTTTTTAAAGCTGACTTTAATTTTTTAGCTCTTCAGGTTTACCTATAAGTTCTGCAAGAAGCGTAGAGACCACCTCAGCACTTACACAGGAATGCTCTTTCCAAAGTTACATTTCTGTGATCCATTTTCTGAAATTCTTAATTTTTTTGCTAAAATTCACAGACTACATAACAGTGTACACTCCTTGCTGCATGGGGCTTCAAGCTGTGGCCAATGCATGACATCATGCACGTGGCACTACAGCATCTGGTGGATGGGTTCCATTACCCTATTTCTGAACCTGTGACATGTATTGCTTTTGCTGCATAACATCTTGCTTGCCCATAGAAAAAATGCATATTGTGTATATAAATAATATAAATATTTACTGCCATCCCTAAACCTTCTGAGTCATCTCATTCTTTCAAGTTATAAATATTTTGAAATTAATTTAGAAGTATCTTTAAAACTTATAACTGAGTTTCTAAAACACAAGTAGACATACACAAACATGTACAGATATTCCTACATATAACTTATCTTCCCTGAAATCTTAACAATCCTGTAGCATCAATAAATTACTAAACCTGGTCTAATTCTATAGAATTCTTTCAAGATAGGAGCAATAAAATTCAGATGCTGAAAAATATTTTAGAAAAACAATGTAATTATAAGTAAATACTAAAGCAGTTCAAAGGTCAAAATTTTCCTTTGGGAAGATAAATTCTCTGTTCCTGTACATACATTGCTCTAGATGGTTCTAGGTAATCAAATGGTAAGAAGCCAAACTATATATCTCATACTAGTGGATGAATTTTACACATGATTCCACATTAAAGTTAATTTTGCAACATTCTTTTACTCTGAATCATCCTCCAAGATCAAGAAGAACAAGTAGAAGTACAAGATGAGACAGGAGGAACTAAGTTTTCCCATGAAACAGAAGAAAAATATTTGCAAGAGAGAAAAACTTAACTTTGTGTGTCTTTGAACATTAGCTCACAGGAGGATACCCAGAAGAGAGAACACCAGGCATCAACTAGAGCAAGGATAAAAGTCAGCACTGACAGCAAGAACATGAGAAACATAGGGATAGAGCACAATACTTAACGTCACAGCCCTCACATTTCTGGTTTCAAAGACAAGCTCTTCATAAGCATAAAATTAACACATGTATAAGTGGTAACATTGTCTATTTTCCCAAAATAAATTATACTCATAATCCCAAGTATTATTATGTTGACTCTAGTAAAGCAGAAGGTAAAATCTAGTAAAGCAGAATGTAAACTCTGGTTATGCATTTTAGGTAAATCCAAAACTATTAAGAGAGGTATGCAAATTGCATTCATTTCATGTCTTTTGAGATTTGTTTCTTGCTCCACAACCTCCTCATGGCAGTTTTCACTTCTGCATTCCTCAGTGTGTAAATCAGAGGGTTGAGCAAAGGTGTCCCAAATGTGTAAAACACAGCTATCATCTTGTCCATGGGGAAGGTGGTGGCAGGGCGTGTGTAAATAAATATACCAGGTACAAAGAACAGGACAACCACAGTGATGTGGGAGACACAGGTGGACAGGGCTTTTTTTCTGCCCTCAGCACTGTGGTTCCTGAGAGAATGCAGGATGACGACATAGGAGCACATCAGCAGGACAAAACTCACTGTACAAATAGCCCCACTGTTGGACACCAACAGCAGGTTGACCACATAGGTGTCTGCACAGGCAAGTTCCAACAGAGGCTCTAAGTCACAGAAATAGTGATCAATTACATTGGGGCCACAGAAAGGCAGACTCAAGGCCAGAAAAACCTGAACTAAAGAGTGCACACAAGATCCCACCCAGGCCAGAGCCACCAACTTGCCATAGACCCTGCGGTTCATGATAGTTGTGTAGTACATGGGCTTACAGATGGCCACATAGCGGTCCACAGCCATGAGGATCAGGATGAAGATCTCCAGGCAGCCAAAGAAATGGAATGTGAAGACTTGAATCAGACATTCACTGAAAGTAATAGTGGTCTTTTTAAAAAGAGAGTCCACAATCGTTCTAGGGGCTATAGAAGTAGAGAAGCAAGTATCAGACAGGGATAAATAGAAAAGGAAGAAGTACATTGGACTCCCAAGTGCACGACTGGTCCTGATGGTTGTAATAATTAGCAAATTACCCCACAATGTCCCCAGGTAGAAAAGCAAAAAGATGACGAAAACTATTTTCTTCCAGACAGGATCTTGTGTCAATCCGAGCAGAATAAAGTAAGTCACGTTATTGTTCAGGTGCATGGTTTCTTGAAGGAGGAGAAGGGAAATGGGTTATCAGCCAGGAAATAAAAAAAAAGAGAGAAGGAAAAAAAACTAACTTTTATGCTCCTCTGAGAATTCTTGGACTGATCCCGGGAAATTAAGTAATTTATCAGGTATAATATTTTGTTAAATTTTAATGTTACCACGGGTCTTTAAAATAGTTTTACTTAGTTTGTTAGTTATTTAGTTAATTTTTTGTGGTTTGTTTTGTTTGTTTTTTCTTTGTTTGTTTGTTTTGGCGGAACCGGGGATTGAACTCAGGCCCTTGCACTTGCCAGGGAAGCGCTTATTTCACTGAGTCGTCTCCCCGGCCCCATTAGTTTTTTGATATAATGTCTTGTTATGTTGTTTAGACACGTATTGATCCTTTTGTCTCAGACTTCCCAGCACTGAGATTACAGGCATGTGCCAGCTTGCCAGCTTTTTATCCCAGTTTTTGTTCCTCAGCTTTATTCATCATTTCTTTGTGTTATTGTGGACTTCATATACGCTATGATCATGATTCTCCCCTTTAGTGCTTTTCAAGCACAAGAGCTTCTTAACTCTGAGAGAGTCTAAATAATTTTGCCAATATTTGAAATAAATGTATGGAGCTATTCCAGCATTAACTACATTTCATATTCATAAATATATATCACTGAACATTTAATATATATTTTATTGCTTTGTTACATAAGCACCAAATCAATGTACATACACATTTGGTACACACACCATCAACACTCAAATACATATTTGGAAAATAAATGTGTCCATGTCATTATTTAGAAAATGTGATTTCCCATTTCTTATCATCTGTCTTTTAAGGATTAACTGATATAAGAAGAAGGGACAGAATGCTTAATATGCAATATATATGCTCTTTATCAATTGCCTACAATGAATGTTTTCATTAGATGTCACAGACATCAACTAATAAAAAATAATCTGAACTCTAACAGGATAAGATTGAATAAAAAATCTCATGCATAGATAAATTAGCACCAGAATGGAAAGATCACTTACATAAATGTAAAAAAATAATGCCAACTACTCCCCCAAGGATTAATATCTAGAATATAAAAGGAACTAAAAAAATTATCCTCCATTAAAGTCCTTATCAAACCTGGGAAATGGAAATGGATAAATTCTGGGGTTGTGGAGATAGATCAGTAGTCTCACTGCCCACCTTAGAAGCTCGCGGACTGGGCTTAGATTCCCAGTACTGCATGACATAGTGGCTCTGGAACCCTGGGCATGCTATGAAAGTCACCAAAACGTGGTGTGGTGGTACACACCTGTGATCCCAGTGCTGGGGAGGCTGCAACAGGATGATAGATGTGAGTCTGAGCTGTATAAAAAGACCCTGTACCAAATAAATAAATTAATGAGTTTTACAAATTAAGAAAAAGAAATTGATAAACAGTTCTCAATTTACAAATGGCCAATAAGTACATAAAATGTGCATCTTTCTCCATCAGAGAAATGCAGATCAAAACACCACAGAGATCCCATTTGACACCTACAAAGTATCTGTCCTCAAGTCCCAAAATAACAAATGCTGGCAAGGCTGTAGGGATTGTGTAGACCCTCTGTTTTGTTGACTGCAATGGAAACTAATAAAATCACTATGGCGATTGGGATGGAGAGTCCTCCAAAACATGAAAATGGAAATTCCATTCAACACTGTTCTATCTCTTCTGTTTATCTTTCCAAAAGATTTAAAGACATCAAATTACAGAGAACCTCCACATGCGTGTGCTTATAGAAGCACAA